GGCAGCAGGTGCTGGAATATTTTGTTTCTCTTACTATATAGGTTGTTGTCCTAGGTTTTTGACTCTACTACGGTTCACACTTTTCTCTTGAAATTTCCAATCTTCTCAAATAGTTACTTATCTCAAAAATTCAACTATGTACCTACTTTTGCTTTAGTTCTTCTTTCTGAGAGATCAATTGCTTGATGCCTCTGCCACGCATCTTGAAATATCTCTACAGTAACGTACATTTGGAAAAATGGAGCTAGATAAAATGAGGGGACTAGTAGGGTTGGGAGAAGTGGGGTAAATAAATGCAAGGGCTGATATTGATCAAGATGCATTGTATTAATAAACGGATATATTGAATCAAAATCTTTTTGTATAACTACCTAAGCATAATAAATTAAATTTAAAAGTTGTCAACACTGAAAACAGTGAGTACAATATTGTTAGGTGTGAAATATGGTTCAGTTAGATCTGTTTCCTGAGTAGCTAGAATTATAGTCATGAGCCACCAGTGCCTTACTGACTTTAATCTTTTTTTGGGGGGGGGTCCGGTTGGGGGCCTGAACTCTGGGCCTGGGCGCTGTCCCTCAGCTCTTCAGCTCAAGGCTAGCGCTCTACCACTTGGGCCACAGTGCCACTTCCGACTTTTTTTTCTTTTTGCTTATGTGGTGCTGAGGAATCGAACCCAGGGCCTCAGGCATGCAAGGCAAGCGTTCTACCACTGAGCCACCTTCCCAGCCCCTTAATCTTTTTAATATGTGGTAAATATACCTTCTCTTTACTCTTCTTCACTCTCTTTTTGCTACCAAGTTAGGTTTTTTTTGGTGGAGGGGGGGTCCGGTTGGGGGCCTGAACTCTGGGCCTGGGCTCTGTCTCTCAGTTCTTCAGCTCAAGGCTAGTGCTCTACCACTTGAACCACAGCGCCACTTCCGACTTTTTTTTTCTTTTTGCTTTTGTGGTGCTGGGGAATCGAACCCAGGGCCTCATGCATGCAAGGCAAGCGCTCTACCACTGAGCCACCTTCCCAGCCCCTAACTTAGGTTTTTTGTTGCTGTTTTATTCATCTAATTTTTACTGACCATCTGTTTACTAGTGAAGATCATTTTTAAATTATGCCAATAAGGATCCTTGCCTTTTGCTCCAGAGGAAAGCTTTCTTCATCTCCCAAATCCTCTTTATAACCCTACTACTTCAGAGAGAGCCATTAAATCTTCTGAACCTATTTGCTGCTCAAACAACTTTCAAAGGACAGCCTAATGCAAAGGATAGTCAATATGTCTTATTTGCATGATGTAGAGACACATGTGAAACTCATACATAATTGTCTACCAATAATGTATGAATGAAATTTCTGGTAGTTCATTGTCTTCAAATATGTTGAACAATGCCCAATTTCAATGCAACTTAAACTGCCACCAACACTGCACAAAATATCTCACATTTGTTTTACTGGTCAATATCTTCAACTTTCAAATATGTTGCTGATCTAAATGTGTATGAAATCATATGTAATATTGGTTTCTATTTTCCTGATTCCTGATGAGATTCATATAATCTAATACATTCCAAGTACTCTTATTAAGTACTTGAGATAAAATTGCAAACATAAATGAAAAAAATCATTCAATTTCAAGACCTTATATTCTGGCAGGAAATATAAAAATCAGTAAGTGAATACTTTAGTATGTAAGGTGACATATACTATAGATTAAAGCAATGAGATGCATATTAAAGCAATGTGTGATTGTTAACTATGTAGTCTACTATTTTTCTGAATTGCCAGCTTTCTATAGATAGATTGAACTTTTCTTATTGACATCAATTAATTATTTCATTCATTGCACATATTCTACCTTTTAGCAAAATCTTATTTCTCTCTTTTTTGTTTATGATGACTTTTATAATTAGGAAAGTCTGCATTTCATTCTAACCTTATTCATCAAAACTTTCCTTAATGTAGAGCTGGGAAGGTGGCTCAGTGGTAAAGCGCTTGCCTTGAAAACTTTCCTTAATGAACTGTGCTTCTGTAGGTTTTGTTTCCCACTTACTGGGTTCAGAATTACATATTCATTTACACTGTCTTCTAAATGTTTTGTACATGTTACTTATTAGGATATTAATATGATGCATTTGACATTTACTGTGTGTGTGAAGTATGAAGGGATATTTTTCGATGTGAATAGCCAATTAATTCGTCATCATTTACTTATTTAATATTGTTCACTTATCAGTTGAAATTCCACTGCTATTAATTACTCAAGTTTCCTGTGTACAAACGGGCCTTCTGGACACTAGGTTATATTGGTATGTTTGATTTTTCCTGCTTTAATCTAGAAACTTTATAGATCACCCTCTGTAGTTGAAAGAGTAAACTTAAGACAAAACAAGTTATTCTTCTGCTTATAAACAGCTAAAAGACTTTCTTTCTCTCCTGCTCTTTCTCAATACTAAATCTATATTTTGCTCCCAGACTGCAACCTGCAGGCCTCTAAACTCTTTGATTCCTCTGACCCCATGACCTCTTTGAACTCATCTCCTTCTCTCCCCTACCTTGCTCACTCAGCTTCAGCCATGCTGCCATGTTGCCTGCTCCCCTGAAATACATCAGGCCTTCAGACCTCATTTTTTTGAGGTCGTTGTTTTTGTCTGTTGTGGGGCTTCAACTCAGGGTCTGGGCATTGTCCTTAGCTTTTACACTCAAGGTTAGTGCTCTACCATTTTGAGCCACAGCAACATTTCTGATGGCTAATTGGAGATAAGAGTCTTAACAGACTTTCCCACTTGGGCTGGTTTTGAACCACGATCTTCATATCTCAGCCTCCTGAGTAGTTATGATTATAGGCGTGAGCCACCAGTACCTGACTGGGACTTCATTTTTTGGCACTCTATCTGGAATAATCCTTCACCCAGACAGCCACAGGACCACTTCACTATTACCTTCACGATTTGACTTAAAAGCCAAGTGCTCGGTGAGGCCTCCCCTGGCCACCCTACCTCTCTAAAATAGACCCTCCATGGAATTTCAGGTCCCACACTTTGCTTCTATTTTTTCTTTTTAGCCCCTACCACTATGAATATATATTTACTTAGCTTGGGCACTGTTTCCTTCCCTAACATGAACTCTGTTTGTTGGAAAGGTCATTCTTTATTTGTTCTCTGCTATATCAGTACCTTTGTCTAAACAATACCTGGCAGCCCCCTCCCATCCAAAGTACCTGTGAGGTGAGGGTACAACAAATTAACTAAGAACACAGTCAGGACAAAGAAAGTTAAAATGGGAAGGTTTTGCTGGGTGTATCCATGAAGTTACAGACACATGCCTCCAAGGGACAAGTGTGCATTTTATTACAGTGAAGCAGGCCAACTGGGGGAGGGGCAACTAGAGAGATTCTGAGCCTAAACTGGGCTGAATCCTACCTCAGACCCAGCTGCCTTTATCCTTGATGGAATGTGGATCTCAATGATCTGTATTTTTATAACTCTATTTGATTTTCCACAAAAGCCAGCGATAGATTTACACTATTTGAACTCTCCCAAATGCCTAAAGTACCAAATTTAAGCTGGAAAATAATAAAATCCAAAGATCTAGCAAAACATGACAGCGAGCTGAGATTGGTCCTTAGATAAAAAGCTTTTGCTGGCTGGTGGTGTATGAAAGAAAATGAATTCCTGTGTGATGAGGTGGGCTGGCTTTGTGTAATTCTTGAGTCAGCCTCGGGGTCGGTGTTGAGTAGAGAGAATGAACTACATTTATCACCTTCCTTCAACCCTCCCAAAGCCTCTTATTTCCACACACTAGCTTGAAGGTCAGTAAGCCTGACTATCAGGGACTGACCAAGACTCTTTGGGGGCAAAAGTATAGTTTAGTGAAGAGTGGGGATGCAGAAATCAAAGAATGAATTCTGAGAAGGACTTCAGGATGAATGGCTGAAGACAAAGCAAGAAGAAGAGGACACAGACCATGCACTGGACACCATGGTTCTCAGGGATTTTATTGAGGTTTCACACTCCTCTCAACCAATCACATAATCCCTCCATGTGACAATATACAACCAAGAGAATTAGTTACACAAAGTCACAATTCCCAGCTTATTTTTCATAACATCTACATTACCTGGAAAAAAAGAGCTGTGAAAACTTCCAAGACACTTTCCTATGAGTTTAGGGGATCACACTGGCCAGGGGCCAGTGAAGTAAGGTGTCAACAGCCACAGGCTTTATGGAGGGTATAGGCAGAATGAGGCTGTAAGGACAGAGGGCTGCCCTTGATGGAGCACCAGTTAGAACCACTGTGGCTTCAAGCAATGGCTAAAGCAGAGATAGCCAAGGTCTTCCCTTGCCTTGAGAAGATACAAGGCTCAATCCTCCAATGCTCCCCTCTTCCAAGCAGGCGAGGTAGGGGGAGGAGCAGTGATGGGGCTCTTGTACTGAGTTCTGCAAGGTTCCATTTATTGAGATTAAAACATTTCCAAAGTCAACATGGCACATATCTCAAATTGTGAGAGTCACAGTGGCTCATTTGCAAAAAAATTCTGTAAGGGAGATGAATCATGACCTCCTCTCCAGGTCCTAGATTTATTGCAAGTGCCTTCCTTGTGAAAAATAAAGGAGACACCCCCAGAGATCAGTGCTTATCAAACACTGTTTTAGGTGTAGTACAAACTGCCTGTGACAAGAATACCCTTATAGCTATAAAATGATTGGTATAGGCCCCTAGTAAACTTCCAATGGCATCCCTGTCTAAATGCCCTTCTGGGGGAGTACAATGCACCTGCCTTCTTTAATATCCACAACTTCACTAGGGTTGATGTGTTAATGTTATGAATCCCTGGGCCTTCCCAGAACTCTTGGGATCTGTTCTTCATACTTTTTATTCTATATTCTCACTCCCTCAGTCATTCTTTCTTTCTGGAATCTGTCCTTTCATATCCACCCTTGCTGGCCACGCTAATCTTCTGTGTCTTAGCCTTCCACAGATCCCCACCAACTTGATCTTTCCCTAGCTCTTCTAGACCTCTTCTAACCTTTCTTTGTTTCCCTCTCTACTCAATTTATTCTGTCTGTTTTCCTCTAAACCCCAAATTCTCACTCTCAGTCATCATTTACTCCCTTTTCTACTGGATGTTTCCCCCTGATTCTCCCTAGGGAGCTTCCCATTTTTCTGGTACCTCCCTACCTCTTCTTAAGAACTCACCTCCTCCCCTGCCTTTCCCACAGCCCACCTCTAGCTCATTCCCCTCCCCACAGACTGTATCAGCTAAGTTTCATTTCCTCTTTAGGTAACTGGTCATAATAGCTGCACTTTATTCACAGGTTGAATGGACAGCTATTCCTTTCTTTTATGACCCATAAAGCAAACAACCCAATCTTTTCCACAAGACAAAGTACTTACATATAGTGTGTGATATCCACATAAAATTGTGTTTTTCAGAAAACAGTTACGCTGGCAAAGATGTTGGGTTATTAGGGATCCTTAAGCTTCAAATACATTGGAAAATTAGTATTTTGCACATCTACAAATTATACATTTGCCTCCTCACATTTTGCAAGTTTTACCTAACAGGTTTTTTTCACCAAATCATAGACATAGATATGGAAATCATCATCAAACTTGATGAAATACACAGAGGGTTTGGCTTTAACTTGGTGAATGACCTTGCCTGTCCTTTTGGAGCCATCTTCTTTGGTATATTCCACATGTTTACCTATCAGGCCATCTATAACTCCTTCTGGCTCCCTCTCTGTTGGAGGAGCCTCATTGGACTCTGGCATAATGCGGAGGTCGCCTTCTTTGTAATCATCTAGAAGCTGGTACATGTACAGGACAGGATCTTTCTCATAGGTAATATAAAACCAGGCTTTCATGATAGGTGCTTGGGCTAGCACCATCCCCCGCCATTCATCCTTAGAACCATGCTCACCCTCAAACATATGTTCCACTGCTTTGCCAATTATGGTATTTGCAAGGCGCACATCTCTGACTCGAGAAAATGGCACCTTATCAGGAAGGATTTTAAGTTTTAAAATCCTTTCATCCTGGTGAAGTTCCAGTCCATAGACACAGTCAATTCCATCGTATTTCACCAGATAAAGAGAGGGATTTATAGGCACCTGATCCAGAACAGTTCCTTTCCACTGCGTGATAGGTTCATCGCCTTCCTTCCATCCATGAGAAATTCTGCAGCCCACAATGTTCCTCCGTGGCTGGGACGCAGGTCTCCCCCTCTGCTTCTTTTGAGTGTGTTTTTTCTTTCTTATGTTTGTAGATCCAGTGTGGTGATCTACAGCTTCCCTAGTCTGCTGCTTTGCAGCTGTCTTCTTGTGAGGAGTCTTCATACCTGAAAAGGGAGGAGAAAGGCTAGGGACAAACATTTCAGGTAATAGAAGGTGAAGATTTTTCTGTGTATTGTTAAGTTCCTGTATACCATGCATATCACTACACAAGTTATTCACATGTGGCCAGTAGCAGTACTGTGTATCAAGACACTCTTGGATCCTTGCCTGCAATGTCCTCTTTCCAAGCTTCTTTGGCTGCACAAGAGAGCTAGAGAAGATGGACTGTGGAAGTCATGGTAGTGGAGAAACCAGCAAGAGGGAGCGGGTTCCCGAACATATTTCCTAACTCCTCATTGCCATCCCAATCCCTCCCATCTTCCAGGCTAAGCATTTACCATTTTTAGCCCCAATCTCATGTTTCCATTCCCATGCATGTATTTCCCTTGAATCCTACTCACTGCTGTCTGCTATTCATCCCATCATCTTGCCCATACCCATGCCTGCTCCCCGGTGCTTCGTTTTCCTTCATATCTCTTCCTGGCCATCCCCATTTCCCCCCGTTGTGCTCCCACCACAAATCGAGTTTCCTTTCCAGCCACCTTTGTATACAAACCAACCTGGGGTTCTTTGCTCCCTGCCCCGCCCCCAAATCACTCTTCCGAGTTTCCCTCACCTTAAATGTTTAGCACCCACTCCGATTTTCCTGCTGGACACCCAACAACATCCACTCCTCTGGTTTTGTAGTCTGGAGCTCACCAATGCACGGGTCAGGGATCGCGATGTTCACGTGCCCAAATCGGACACCTCTCTGTTGCCTCCACGGCGACCCTGTAGCGAAGGAGGCAACAGCAGACCACCAGCCGAACGACTGTTTGCAAGAGGTAGAACGAGAGGATTTCGAGACAAGGAGCTTGTCTGCGAGGGCGGTGGAGCAAGGCAACAAGACGTCGGACAAGTCCCCAGCGCTACGCTCGCTGGCTCTCTGCTGGGGAATCAGAGGCGACTGCACCTCGGCTACTTAAGGCTTTCACTAGCGATTGCCGCCGCTGCAGTCTTACAGTCTCCTCCCACTTTTCATAGCATAGCTTCCTGCCAGGAGAGAGGCCGCCCCTTCCTGCCAAACAAGGCTTAGCAGCCCCCTCCCTCCATTCAAGCCACGCACTCTTGGAAACAAGGCATTCCTATGCTGAAAGCCCCGCCCCTTCCCCCACGTCGGGAGCGCACCGGCTGTGTGTGTGTGGGGGGGAACCACTCTCCCTCCCCACCTACGGGTCCACTCCTTTAATTCGGGGCCCCGGGGCTCTATCCCCATCTCTCACTCTGCCCCCTCCAAGCACTTATCCCCATCTGCTTTTTATCTTCCAGGAATTCGCCATTTCCTTTCCCCCATCCATGTACAGAGTTTATTCTTTGTATGCAAAAACCTGCCTTTCTTGTCCTTTAAGGGAATTTGGGATAGGATGACAGAAATGCGCTGGTGCTCCAAGCAATCTGCCATTTGACCCAATCTCTATGCAAGTTTCCCCGACTGTTAATTCTCAGACTTCACTTCTTGAGGATACTTTTTGTCCTTTTTTCTTTTTGTTTCTTTTCCCTCACATTGCAAAAGAATTGCATCCACAATATCAGAACACTGGCTGGAAGGAAAACTTCACCTGCTCTCCTTTCCCCACTCCTCTTTGTTACAGCATAATACAAGGCTTCATTATTTCCTTTGCAATTTTCTATGCTCATAGAAAGCTTGGATCATTTATGCAAATTTGGATGCTAATATCCTTTGTAAAATAATTTCGCTTGATTTTCTTAAAAAACAGAGTTCATACAGCAATATTAATTATGCAAAATAGCAGTATTTGTTTTATTCAACCTTTTCAAGTTAGAAATAAAAATTTACCAGTGAAATATAATTCTCTTTGTCCTCTAACACAAATCCCGTTCTGTCCCAGAATTTTGTATACAAAGCTTCTTAAGGTAAATTTAAAAATAATGATATTTTGTGCATTTCATGCTTTGTGATATTTTGAATACATTTTGGGAAGGATAGGTTTTTTTGTACTATAAGAAAAAAATAATTCTCTTCAGTGGGCTACACCTGACATTTTTGGGAGATGGCTCCTGGTTTCATGACCCACTTCTATACTGTAGGAGATAATAAGAATGTGACAGCTGTGTGCTTTGTAAAACTAAACAATACTAGACAATCTTATTTAATGGATCTTTCTTTAGATAATTCTTAAGACTATTCAAGAAAATGTTGTAGTATTGTTTGGTAGTCACATTGCCAACAATTCTAAAATGGAATTATGAAATGTCTTATAATCTACTTACCTAAACGTAAATACAAATTTTATCTATTTTTGTTTTCTTTTTTTAAATTTTTTTATTGTGAAAATACCGTACAGTGGGGTTACAATTACATGGGCAAGGTAATGAGTACATTCCTTATCAAGCATTGTTGACTCCTCCTTTGTTTCCCCTTCCCATCCCTTCCCATTCCCTCTCCCCGCCCCCCCCCCCCCCCCCCCCGCTGCCCCCCCCTCCCCCGCACTCCGGGCCAAAGTTGTAAAGTTCGTTTTTCAACTTAACGACTTGACTTGTATATCTCATTGTTGCAATGGGTCTTTTTTCCCTTCCCCTCCACAAACTATACCAACATCAAATACAGTGAAAACAGGCGTTATACCGTGAGGGAGGGACATACAAAGCAACAAAGAAATCATCTTATAAATCTGTTAGAAACAATTGCAAGAAAGAAAAAAAACATTTGAATACTTATCTTGGAGTTAATTTCACCTAACGTCAACATACCTGACCTTTTCTGCTTGTCTCAGACATATACTAGTTATTGCAAATAAGGAAAACCATGGGACCTAGGTTTCTTTGGGCCTGGCTTACTTCACTTAATATAATTTTTTCAAGTCTTTCCATTTCCTAACAAATGGGGCAATGTCATTCTTGGACAAATGGGATTGCATGAAACTGCAGAGCTTCTGCATGGCAAAGGACATTGCTAGCAAGATCAATAGAAAGCCCACAGATTGGGAGAAGATCTTCACTAGCCATACAACAGACAAGGGTCTCATATCTAAAATATACCTGGAACTAAAAAAATTAAATCCCCCAACAACAAATCCTCAATGAAACAACTGCCCAATAAATAAGTGGGCTAAAGACTTAAAGAGAAACTTCTCTGAAGAGGAAAGAAGGATGGCCAATAGACACATGAAGAAATGCTCAGCCTCTCTAGCCATAAAAGAAATGCAAATCAAAACAACATTGAGATAGCACCTCACCCCAGTTAGAATGTCTATAATCAAGGACTCTAATAACAACAGATGCTAGAGGGAATGTGGACAGAAGGGTGGGAGTGTAAACTTGTTCAACCACTTTGGAAAGTAGTATGGAGGTTCCTCAGAAGACTCCACATAGAGCTCCCCTATGACCCAGCAATCCCACTTTTGGGCATTTACCCAAATGATCACAAACAAGACCACACTAAAGCTACCAGCACAACTATGTTTATTGCAGCATTATTTACCATAGCAAAGATATGGAACCAACCCAGATGCCCCTCAGTAGATGAATGGATCAAGAAAATGTGGTATATATGTACTTTTTCTATAGCTTACATTTTTATTCAAAATTTTGTCAAATTTCTTTATCATATCAACAATTTTTTCTACACTCAGTCTATTGTGGAGAACATAGGTGACGTGTTTTGAGATATAACACAATATATTCATATATATCATTCTGGGAATGTTCTGTATGATCTCTTCTATTATACTCTGTTTTCCCCTATCTCCCTCCTCCTTATTTTTCAACAGCTTTATGTAGGTTTTCTTATGCCTTTTTTTTAAAATAAAGAATGTATTTCACAATATATTCACCTTACATCATTCTCTTTGCCTTCCTCTTCCCCCTCATTCTCCTTTGACAGCTCAAAAATTTATAATTATGTTTAGATATACATGTATGTACACATATGTATATATATAAATGATTGTCTAGACTGTGCCTAGAGAGAAAATATGCAACCTTTGAACTATTGAATGTGGCTTACTTCAGTTAACATACTTATCTCCCAATTCCATCCATTTACTACAAATGTCATAATTTTGTTCTTAACACTCCATTGTGTGTTATCATATTAAAAGTTAGGTGCTAGTGGCTCAGACCTATATTTCTAGTTACTCAGGAGGCTGAGCACCTGAGGGTTATGGATCAAAGCCAGCCTAGGCAAAAATGACTGTGAGACATCTCTAATTAATCATCAAAAAATCCAGAAATATAGCTGTGGCTCAAGTGTTAAAGCACTAAACTAGAGCAAAAATGCTAAGATATAGTGCCTCAATCCTGAATTCTAGCCCCAGGACTGAAATCACACACATACACACACACACACACACACACACACACACACACAAAATGTTGTAATGAATATTTTCGTGTAATTTTACCTGAGTTTCTATAAAGAACATCCTGTAAGAAGAAATACTCAGGTTTAAATAAAAACACTTCCAAATTTTCTAAATCATCCTTAAGTTTATTTTTAAAATGTTAGCAAATTGCTGTGTTTATGAATTCTACTAAGTTACACTAAATTAATTGAGGTCATTCCAGATTTTACTCCCTAGAAAGAGTTGCCTCAGCCAGGCATTGGTGGTTCATGCCTGTAATCTTAGGTACTCAGGAGGCTGAGATCTAAGGCACTCAAGAGGCTGAGATCTAAGGATCATGGTTTAAAATGAGCCTGGCTAAGAAAGTCAACAAAACTCTCATCTCCAATTAACAACCAAAAAGCAGGGAGTGGAGCTGTGGCTCAAGTGGTAGAGTGCTAGCCTTGATCAAAATAGCTCAGAGACAGTGCTCAGGCCTTGAGCTCAAGCCCCAGGAACAACAAAAAAAAGGGAAAGTGTTGCATATTCAAAATTTTTCTATCAATGGTTTTTTTGTACAATATGAGAGATAAAGGTCAAGTTTTAGTTTTCTGTGTGTGAAAATCCAATTTTTTTATTATCATTTATTGAAGAAGTTATCTTATTCCCAAATATATGTTTTTGGCATCATTTGAAATCAATTTGCTATAGATATGTGGGATTATTTAAGGTATCTCTGTTCCATTGCATTGGTCTGTGTCTGTTTCTACACAAATAATGTCGTGTTGCTTTTGTTACTGTACCTTGTAGCATGTCTTGAAATCAATATTGTGATGCCTCCATCTTTAGTCTTTTTGTTCAAAATTGCTTTGACTATTCAGGTTGTGTCTGTGTTGGGGGCGGGGGTTAGTGCCTGTCCTGGGGCTGGAACCCAAGGCCTGGATACTGTTTGTTTTTTTTTAGCTCAATGATAGCCCTCTACCACTTCAGCCACAGCTCCATTTTAGACATTGTGGTGGTTAATCGGATATATGAGTCTCAGGGTCTTTTCTGCCAAGGCTGGCTTTGAATCTTGATCCTCGGATCTCAGTCTCCTGAATAACTAGGATTACAAGTGTGTGCCCCCAGCACACACTTTTTTATATTCATGTCTCATGATCACTACCACCATCATAATCATCATCATTGTTTTATGTGTAGCCACTACAAAATGAACAATATTTGGATTTATGAACTTGGCTTATCTTGCTCAATTTGATGGTTTCCAGTTTCATCCATTTTCCTACAAATGACACATTGCATTTTAGTTAT